GAGTTGTTGTTAAGCTGTTGGAATTTTAGTTCTTATGTTGTTGGGTTGGCTGTTGATTGGTTTAACTAATGTGTCTCCTCCTTGCACTGAAGTCAGAACTGTACTCAGAACATTCAGTGTCTTAATTTGTGCCTAGCAGTGATTATTGTCAATACCTCAGATGTGCTGACATGGTGATACTTCATTTTAATTTCTCATGCAGGGAGATCTCAGGTTTTTTATAGCGTGATGAATTTTGACTGACTCACGGGTTATCACTGTGTTTGGGTTATTTGTACTCTCCATCCTGGCCCACGTGGTAGTTGCTCTAGAAGGTTTTGTGATGTTTAAACATGCCTAAAAACAAGTCAGGGTAAGATGAGCACCTTATTGTTCTTCTCACAGATTTTAGGGATCACTAAACTGTCCTTAAATTTTGTTTGAGCAATAAAAGGTTCTGATTTACACTCATCACTTCTAAAAACATAAAAGACCTCCAAAAAGAATTACCTCAAATCTTCCTGGAATCCTCAGCAACCTCGTGATGTGCAGCTTCATGTGTTGTCTTCTGTTCTTTAAAACTCTCCATCCTTTTGGATTTTGCAGGATGAACAGAAAGCAGAGGATGAGCTGGCAAAAAAACGTGCAGCATTACTGCTGAAACAGCAGCGCAAAGCCGAGGAGGCTCGGATCAGGAAACAGCAGCTGGAGGCTGAAGTGGAACAGAAAAGAGATGAAGCTCGGTATGGATAGTAGAAAAGAATGTTTCTTTTTATTTTGAAGATGAGGAAATTCTTCTTTAGGAAGAAATTTTTCTCAGAAAGGGTGATTAGATCTTGGAATGTGCTGCACAGGAGGTGGTGGAGTCACCATCCCTGGGGGTGTTTAAGGACAGACTGGACGTGGCACTCAGTGCCATGGTCTGGCTGACATGGTGATGTTAGGTCATGGGTTGGACTTGATGATCTCAGAGGTCTTTTCCAGCCTAATCGATCCTGGGATTCTCTGAGACTCTTCCATGTTGAATAGAGTGTTGTGTTTGCTTTGCAGTCGCAAAGCTGAGGAGGACCGGATACGGAAAGAGGAGGAGAAGGCTCGGAGAGAACTTATCAAGCAAGAATATCTAAGGAAAAAACAGCAGCAAATTTTGGAGGAGCAAGGGCTTGGGAAGCCCAAATCAAAGCCCAAAAAGCCCAGGCCAAAGTCAGTCCATCGTGAAGAATCTTACAGTGATTCAGGGACAAAGTGTTCTTCCACACGTAAGAATCGGGATTTGTTTGCCCTCACTGAGTCTGCAAATCTGCTGTAACAAAAATGTGTCTGACATTTTCTCTTGTGCTTTGTAGCTGATAATTTGAGCAGTGCTCAGTCTGGTTCCAGTCTGTCCTTGGCCTCAGCAGCAACAACTGAACCTGAAAGTGTTCACTCTGGTGGCACTCCATCGCAGAGGTACGGCGCGGCCTCCTCGGGCTGCTGGGGTGGGTGGATGTGGGGTGGGATACTGTTGAGCTTCAGCTCCGTGGCACAGAGGCACAGGAGCAGTTGGTGCCTTCATCTCTTTTCCGTGGCTGCCAGCTCCAGTGTTCTGTACAAACTTGCAGTTGTGTTTTGTTTTCTCCAAAGGAGTCACAGAGTCTTGCAGGGAGAACCTGACTGTTCTGGGGGAGGATAAGGGAGAACAGCACGCAGGCCTCGGAGTTGGTGGATTTATATGAGATTAGAGGGGGGAAAACCAAAATCTTGGCATGTAATTTTGTGTTTATTTCCCTCCCAGAGTTGAGTCAATGGAATCCTTACCCATTCTGAGCAGGAATCCCAGCAGGAACACGGAGAGGGATTGGGAGAATGCTTCCACAGCATCTTCTATTGCTTCTGTGGCAGAATACACAGGTGCCTGTTTGAGTTTGTTATGAGTTCCAGGTCAGAAAACCCTGTGGTGTGTTTGATGTGACAGGTTGTTGTTTTTGAGATGAGGTCAGGTGTATTTTGTTCTGTTTAACATCCCTGAAAGTCATTCTAGAAAAATAACAGGGTTTGGTTTATTTTTCCACTTTGAATGAATTTTGCCCTACATTTCTGAACATTAATTTTCACTTGTTTATCTTCCTTAGGTCCCAAATTATTTAAGGAGCCCAGCAGCAAATCCAACAAGCCTATTATTCACAATGCTATATCTCACTGTTGTCTTGCTGGAAAAGTAAATGAACCACATAAGAATTCAATATTAGAGGTAAGCATACAAATTAGTGGTGCACTCCATAAAACAGGTCTGGAATGCTCATTTCATAATGCCACTGCTGTGCTGTGGTGAATCCCATTTCCTAAAGTGCCTGTGTTGAGGAGTCTTTATTTCCCATGGCTGTCTGGGATTGTGGAAAACATGATCCTGTGTTTAGAGTGAACCTGTGAGTTTATAAAGGAGTGAAAATCACAGTTACTAGTCCAGGGTTGAAAGCCAAGTATTCAGCTAGGTGGGAGAGATTAAAGCTTGGCATGATAGAATCGTGGAATCCTCAAGGTTGGAGGAGTGCTTTAAGGTCATGAAATCCAACCATTAACCTGTCACCCCTAAACCAGTGCCAGATCCAGATGCCTCTTGAACACCTCCAGGGTTGGTGACTCCACCACCTCCCTGGGCAATATTGCAGTGTCAATCAGCATATTCAGCTAGGTGGGAGAGATTAAAGCTTGGCATGATAGAATCGTGGAATCCTCAAGGTTGGAGGAGTGCTTTAAGGTCATGAAATCCAACCATTAACCTGTCACCCCTAAACCAGTGCCAGATCCAGATGCCTCTTGAACACCTCCAGGGTTGGTGACTCCACCACCTCCCTGGGCAATATTGCAGTGTCAATCAGCATATAATAATGAAGGAGTTTAGATTAGATATTAGGAAGAAATCCTTCCCTGTGAGGTGCTGAGGCACTGGCACAGGATGCTCAGGGAAGCTGTGGCTGCTCCATCCCTGGGAGTGTTCCAGAACAGGTTGGATAGGGCTTGGAGCAACCTGGGCTAGTGGAAGGTGTCCCTGCCCATTGCAGGAGGTGGAACTGAATGATCTTTAAGGTCCTTCCAACCCAAAGCGTTCTATGATTCCGTGATAAAATGGGAGTTCTTACTATGAACAATCCATATCTCTGCAGGAACTAGAGAAATGTGATGCCAACCACTACATCATTCTGTTCCGCGACGCTGGCTGCCAGTTCCGAGCACTTTACTGCTACTACCCTGACACAGAGGAGATCTACAAGCTAACTGGAACAGGCCCAAAGAGCATCACCAAGAAAATGATTGATAAACTTTATAAGTACAGTTCGGACAGAAAACAGTTTAACGTGATTCCAGCCAAAACCATGTCTGTGAGTGTGGATGCTCTCACCATCCACAACCACCTGTGGCAAGCCAAGAGACCTGCAGTGCCAAAGAAGAGTCAGACTCGGAAATGACACCCAGCTGGCTCCTGGGAAGAAGATTTGTTGACTGGGATTGCAAAGAAGACATGTTTACCATTTTCCTCCAGTTTGGTATGAAATGTGCAGAACCATGAACATTTTGTAGGAAGCTTTGGAACAGAGGCTGTGGATTGAAGCTGTCAGGAATGAAGGAATGTTGCCAGTGTTTTTTAGGGATGATAATCTGCTGTTACACCCAATGCTAACTACTGTGGCTTTTGGCTGACGAGGGACTGTGCATGTAGCAAGATCTTTGACAAGTGGATTTCCTTTTACTTGAAGCTTTTCATCGGTACAAATTGGGAATAAGTGAATTCTCGTCCCTCTCCACCTCATTCCCTCCTTTTTCCTGTCATTCTTAAAGAGTTGGCAAAGCTCCAGACTTGGGTAGGAGGATTAATCAGATCTTGGGTTGAAGTGCTTTCGGTTTGGTTTGTGGGTTTTTTTTAAAAAACAGTCTTTAGGGAAATCTTCCTTGCAGACTTTTTTGAGGAACTGTTTAATACGTCAGTTGTTGTACTGTATCTACTGCCAATGTCAGTCCAGCTCTCAGAAACAAGCAAAAGCCCCAACTTTGTGCTGCTCAGAACAGAGTTTACTTGCAGTCTCTGGTTAGGATAAGCATTGCAAGGATTGCAAAAAGCCAGTCTTTTTCTAAGCAAAATTACTAACCTAAAGAGCTCTGGAATACAATCATGAAGAGGCATAACAGGTGCTACTAGCTGGAATGTGCCTGACTGAAACTTGAGGCAAAGCTGAATGGAGCACAGTTCTTACTGCTTTCAGTTCCAGGTAGTGTCCTAAAGACTTGTTTGCTTTACTGAAGGTGGATTCTGGTAGGTATAGAACATTTCCACTCTGAGCACTCTCCTCCTGTACGACGGTGCACTTACTGATCACAGGTTTTAATGTTTTTATTACATCATGAAATGTAATTCTACTTCCTTTGTCCTGTCTCTTCTTCTGAATGAGCAGCATGCTCTACCATGAAGAGTGTGTCAATGGTTTTTATTTTTTGGGTGATATATTAATATATATTGATTTGTTGGATTTTTTTTTTCTCATTTGAAAGCAATTTTTAAACAGAGACATTTGCATTTGTTTCAAAAGCCCAAATAAGTCGAATGGCTTTGGATTTCTTTTCATGTTGAAATAATAAATCTTGAATTATGACCTTAAAAATCTTTGTGTTTCAGCAGATTAAATTCTTGTTGTGGTAACAGGGTATATTTGCAGTTCCTTTTTTTTTTTTTTTTGGTTTGTTTGGATCCTCCCCATGTCTCAGTTTTGGGTCCCAACTGGTTTCCAAGTAGGTTTGTGTAGCTGTTCCCTAATTTAATCTGCTAACAAGCTCCTGCTACATGGGTTTGACACTACTACCTGCACGTCCTGGAGGTCTAACTTTGGTTTGCACATGTTTACTTTTTATTTGAAGTGTTACTTGAATATGTGTCTCGAGTGCAACCATCTTCGAGCTGAGCTGAGCTCTGAACCCAGACAGTGTCCTGAGGAACTTTGGGAAGTTACAGAGAGTCATGTACATAGGGGGAATTAGGGTACAGAATGAAGTGCTGACTAGGTAGAGCTAAATGAAGGTCTTCCAGTGCAGTCAGTTTTTTTTCCCCTTCCAGTACTCCCTGACTAGGCTGCTGCAAGTTGTAAATTATGTTAGATAGTTTTTTTGCTGCTTGTAAATAATGAAAGGCTTTATGGTTTCTAAAGTGCTAAGTATTAAACACCATCATGAGTGTAACTTTTGTTACCATGCTCCCCATGCTTGTGCTTTATTTCTCACTGTTTGATATTATAAACCATATTTATTTTATGAAACACTGAAATTTAATAAAAATCATTAACTGATTTCCTTTTTATTTCTTGTGTACTTCTGTTGGTGTGACACTCCATCCCCTCAGAGAACTAATAATGCTTTAAAGATGTGCTGTTGTGTTTAAAGCTTCACCTGGGAGGAGCTCTAATAGCTTCATGCCAAGAGCTTAGTTCTCCTGTGCAAGAACTGGAACAAAAGGCTTCTAGGAAACTGGGAAGTAGTTTAAGGATTTGCTCCATCAGACTCTTGGATGTGGCTGCTGGGGTTGCTTTGATCTGTGTAGTCAGTCAGTGACAGGATTTTGGTGATGTTCTGAAAGATTAAATTACCTTGAAGGTAATCTGGAGTTTTAGTTTGAGTCTTGAGCTTTAGTTATCAAAACACACATTACTCTTGGCAGGGAGTACAGTGTGAACACAGGGAGAGAAGCTTGTGTATGAGAACAGGGGGAATTAGTGGGGGAATGTGGGAAAACTGCAGGCAAATGGAGAGATTTATGGAAGGGAGAACAAGGTATTAAACAGGTTTTGTCAAATTCCAAATGGCAACTCCAGTGTGTGCACTTTTGCTGTCAGCCTCGGGGACAATGTGCTTGTGGATCTGTGACTCTGTGGCTTTGTTAGTGCTGTTTTTTGGGTGACACGAGGAGTTCTGTCTGCTGAGGATTTCTGTCTCTGGTTTTCCAGACCTTGTACCTAATGCTTCACTTTTAATGACTGAAAATCATGTTGTGTAGGAATAGTTAGGTGATCTGGTAGGGGTCAGGGGAGAGTGGTGCTAACATTTGCTTTGCTCGTGTCTCTGCTGAAACATGGGATTTTGTCCTTCCAGCGCCCCTGGAGAGCAGAGTGTAGATAGATATGCTGCCAGGGAATTGGGTGGGAAGTCACCTCAGTCCCAGGGGCTGTGATCCCACATCTGGGGACTTTGGCAGCCTTTGGCAGCTTTAACTCTGGTTAGTTTAGTTTGCACCAGGATCAGGTGGAGTCAGGGTTGTTCCCTCCCAGCTGTCTCAAAAAACTGCCTTGGGCTAAAAACATCTTCCAGCTGCTCCCAGAGGTTCTGGTTGCGCTTCTAGGGAGGAGGAGAAAGTGCTACCTCTGTCTTTGACCTCTCAGTTCCTTACTGGCCTCTTACACACAACAAATTCAAGGATGTACATCTTTAAAGTGCTTTTTAAGTGCAATTTCTGTTCCTCAGCCTTCCATACATCAGTCTGTGTGTTTCCATGTGCTGTTTGTATTTGTAGTTGATGTGTTTGTCTCATTTTTGTCTTGTTCTCTGGCAGAGGAAGTGTTCAGGGAAGAATAATCTGAGTTTGGAAAATACTGACTGATTTTTAGACCCATAATACATCACCTATACTGAGCTGCTCCAAGGAAATAAATCTCTTTTGCCCTCACTGCAAGAGGGAGTTGAATGGAGAAACTGATGATTTCTGGTTATAGTGAGTGAAAACTCCAATGGTTTGGGGCAGTAGCATAAAGAGTAACAGGAATGAGTTCTCAGGGCTTGAATTTTGCTTTTCCCCCCCAGACCTTCAGAGCTGCTCCCTAGAGAGCACCAAACCCCCTCACTTTGTTTGATTTAACTCACTGTTTAAATACAGCACCAAAACAGACATTACCCCTGCCATGCTTATCCAGTTAACGAGCTTGCAGTTAATTAGGGGCTTAACTGTAATTAATTTGGGGCAGTTGAGGGAGGTGCAGGTGGCTGGGGGTGGCAGGGGAGGGGGTGAGGCACAGGGTTTGGTGTTTCAGGTTGTGCCAAACTTCAGGAGAGGCTGTTCCAGCACTCTCCAAGGACACCACTCAGAAAGGGACAGGAAGGAAGATTATGGAGAGATTTTGGTACCATTTTTTTCCCCTGCTGTTCCATGGGCAGAACTGGAGAAGTCTGAAGTATTTTGGGGGAGATGTTGTGTCTGTGCTTCTGGTAAGTCAAACCTTTTTAGAACATTCTCCAGACCAGTTTGAAATGGAAACATTCCTATGGGCCACTCAAGTCTATTTTTAGATGCCAAAAAACCAAAACCAACCCAGGAGTTTTTGTGCTCACATTGATCAGATGTTCAGTGGTTTAATTATATATCTGAATCCTGAGTGGTAAAAACAGGAGAGAAAGTTTATTTCTCTTAGCTCTGTAATTTATTTGGTGTTATTATGGTATACTGGATGAGGAGTGATCATGTATTGAGCTTTAATTTGTTGGAGCAACCAAAGAACATTGATGTGAGACATCCTAAGAGACTCCACAGAGAGCTGTGAGAGGTCATGGTCTAGTAACCACAGTAGGGTTGGACTTTGATAATCTTGGAGGTCTTCTCCAACCCTGTTGATTCTATGAAGCTAATGTTTAATTAATCCACCTCTTTCATATGCCTCAGAAACTAAGGAAACAGTGAATTTGACTTGGTTTTTTGCATAGTTACGTCTCTTTGTCTCACACAAACCAACAGGACAAACACAGGAGGAACTGTCACACCATGAGCTCTAAGTACATTGCACACATTGCTGTTTGCAGTGGATTTGAGATCACCACTCAGACACTGAACTCACCATCCTGTAAGTAAAAACTAATCATTTTTCTCATTTTCTTTGCCTACGTTGTCAATAGAAAATGATTATACAAACCAAATATTTCCCTGCTGGTTCTGAGCTTTGTGGTAGGAAGATGTGGGTTTAGGGAGGGTTGACGAGTTCAAGCTTCCCATGTGCATTGGAGAAGAAATTTGTAAGGAAAATGCTATTCCCACCACTTAAACTCTCTTAACTAGGAATATGGTTTCTGTTTAAGCTTGGTTTGGGCTGTTAGGGTGACAATTAGTTACTGGACATTAATTTGGGGAGGTTTTTTTGGGTCTGCATAGAAGAACTGCAGAGTGTAGCTGCACTCACTGCTCAGCAGAGTCAGGCAGTGTCCAAGTGCTTTGGATTATTAGACTCAAAAGTCCATAAAATCAAGTCATCCAAGGAAAAATGCTGGATCTTCCTATGAATAATGGAATCCCAGAGTGTTTTGGGTTGGAAGGACCTTAGAGCTCATCTGGTTCCACCACACATTCCTGGTGTAAAGTCACAGGATGGATTTATCTGCCTGTCTGTGCTAAATATAAATCTCCTTTCATCTTGGTGCTGCACTCCTGTCACAATTTTCTGCTCCATCCCTCTGAACCTGCTCAGAGAAATTACATCTGTTTATTGTAGTGGGAGAAGAAACCTCTGGGGAAGTGTCTGAAAGTGAGGAGAGCAGCAGGGTGATTAAATATTCAGTAGGCAGCGTTTGTTCAAATTCAAATGAGGCACTTGAAAGAATAGTTTGAAGCACAGAAACCTCCCAGAATTACCATGGAAATCTCACCAAAGAAAAAAGCCTTTTGCTTG